TACCGGGCCCTGCAAGGGCTTGGCCTGGCCGCGTCTCTACCATCCGGTCTTATGCTCATAGGCAGTACATACCGACCTGGACCCCACAAGAACCAAATATTCGCACTCTATGGCGCTGCAGCTTCTCCTGGGTTCTTCCTTGGGCCCCTTTTACTTTCATTACTACTCTTAAATGGATCACTGAGTATTTATATGCTATACTGCTGTACGAGTGCCAGGTTGTGCGTCCCCGGGGCAAAATACCTTGCAAGTCCAGTTCCGCCATCATCTGAACGATCGGTTCCCCTTCGTCCTGACGCACACTCAGCGCTACCTGATCACCGCCCCATAACTGGTCATGTCGGTTGAAGTTTCCCGCTATGATCAGTTCGACTCGGATCCAACGGTTCTCTACCTATTGAACAAATTGAGATTTTGTATTACAATCGTTGTAGTCCGGTATTCTCGGGAGTCCTGTATCTCATTGTTTTCTTCGGTCTTTCCCAGTTCTCTCCTTATTCAAGCAGCATCATTACTGGACTCATGCATGGGGGTACATGCATCGGACCCCTTTCTCTTCGAATGTTGGAAGTCCCCGCCGACTTATCGCCTTCTTAAGGGAAGCCTACATGCTCATCAAAGTCGTTTAGTTCTCGCCGGTGCTGTTGCTGGTACTGGTGTTCATACTGTTGCTGCTGATGCTGCTGATGATGAGTGATCCCATTTGCGTACGGACTGTTTTCGAGACAAGTGAATCACACTCGTTGTCCCGTCCTCTACAGAACAAGCAGAATCATTTTCCATCACACTTAGCAATGCCCGTTAGCATTGTGCTATATTCTCTTAGAGCGATCGCGTGGATGCCTGGTCGGATCCTCATACATAATCCTCATTCTGGCATGCCAACCTGTCTCGAAGATCCTTTAGCTGTGTATAAAGCCACTTACCAGGTTCAATGAGACTACCCCTGTCATTAAGAATGGGTTATAAGTCCTTACAAACCGGTCGGTCATCGCTACTCGAGTGCCGCACGCCAGCTGACTAGTTGCTTGCTAGAAAATGATGAATTCTATGTACCCATAGACACATCGGTGATCGGTGAGTCTTGCGACCCCCGGGTGGTTGTGTCTTTTCGGAAAAAACAAATTCATGAGCTATACAGATACGAGCCGGAGGCGGTGCACGTCCGATCATATCAGGTACTCTTAAGCTTCATCTTTGACCGCAAAAAATCGAGGGAAAGACGTCTATGGTTTTCTCTTCCGCTTGGCTGTAGTCGACTGCTTACGCCTCAACTGTAGGTAGGCGGCGATGTCCTCGTTTTTCACGAGTTCTCGTTACCTAAAGGGATGACTATTATGGCAACGAATTTGCCACTACCGTTCAGAAGAAGCCTTTACGGTTCTCATTTTGGGAGGGCAAGCATTAGTTTCGACACCAAGGCTGATGGTTCCAGTATCGAATAGTGAAAGAGCAGAGAGACTTTGGTACTCGATGATTGATATACCTATCCTGCTTCGGCCGATCTCAACAGCCATTACGAGAGCTATCCCATGCATGCTGGGCCGAGTACCTAAAGTAGGTTGAGCAAAAAGCTATCATCTTTGAGAATCGAGGTGAAGAAGGCTGGTAGAAGACGAAGACCCGAAAAATTCGACGGTTGCAAACAGTAGTTCTCGATGAAGAAGTCAAGCAGAGTTTAGTACATGACATGCAAGACTTTCTCAGCTTGGGAACTCACCCCCGTTATCTGGAAGGAGATATACCATACCGCCGGGGTTATCTGCTCCATGGACCCCCTGGAACGGGCAAGACAAGTGCTGTGCTGGCACTCGCAAGCCACTTCGGCCTCGATGTGTACAAATTGAATCTCGCCGGCAGTGTGGATGATAAGAAGCATTCTCACTTTGTTCAAGCGAGTACACCCGTCTTTCTATAGCATATCTTTTACTGCATGCTCACGTCTAGTGTTCAAATAATGTTATATAGATGAATTAGAATGAAAGGTCATGAGGCTTAACCGATTCCGATGCATTCAACCACATATAAGTCATCTATCGTAATGAGCGAGGCTATTGGTTTATCGTCCCGTCACCATCCGGACGTCTTCATTACAAGATTAAACACGGGTCGATAGAGCCGTGGGCACACGCTATTGCTACTGGTATTTCTGACTCCTCCGTTAAAGAATCGAGAAGGTTGCTGAACAGGCTAAGCGTCGACGCTTCGACCAGCAGATAAGGTAGACTCAGCTTTATCAGGCTGGGTTTAACCTTATATCTGGAGGACGTGTGCCTCAATGCCTAGCCTCGAGACTACTTTACTTCAGTTCATTTCAATTACTTACAGTTCGATACTACCTTAAATTGAAATTCCACCTGAAGCGTCAGCTCTTGGCAAGAGGCCTCAACGGAACTGGAATGGCCAGTTCTTGAAGAGATCAAAGATTAACTGACTGATAGGAAGCCTCGTAACCTCCGTCCACCCCAGATGACACGTCTATGCCAAGTATGCGTAGACCCAGAAGCACGCTTCCGAAGGAACACCCAATCCGTAGCGTGCTGGAATGGACGGAAAATAGGTGTATCCGGAAAGGAACAAGCCATAAGATGCCCCTATCAGAAGCTTTCAAACCAATGGACTCTAAATCTACAGTGAATTATGGTTTGGATGCCTTCTCTTCTTCGACCTGTCGACTGAGTGCTATGCCCATACTTGTTGGACTTCCACAACTGCCTTAGCTCTGCATACCGGACGTAGAGTCGCGCGAGCTTATTTTTCTTATCCTCGTCCCAGTGTGCGCGCTTCTTGAGGTAGTTCTGATAGCGAAGTCGGCATGAGATGGCACTCCGTCCGGGAATCCTCTTGGAAATGCCCTCCCACTTCATACCTTGGCCCCTTAATAAGACAATGAGCTCATCTTCCTGCTGGGTCCACTTTGTGCCATTCTTCTGCGGCGATTCATCGACTAGTGGCTTTTGTGATGATGTGCGCTTGATGGAGAGGCTTCGTAGAGGTAGAGAGGCAATCCAGAGTGACCTGAGTTGTAGTGAGGCGGACCGTTATGATGGGCACCGAAAAATAGGGGTTGAAACGCGTTGTTCTGGTGAAGCTTTTTAGGTTGTTGCAGCGGCTGAATAAATAGAGAATGTGGAAAAGGTTGCAGATTTGATATATGCAGGAGCTGGTACGTAGGAGGTTGATGAGCAGAGGTCGCAGTTGGCGAAACAACGGATAGAGAGGTTGGTGTCGCATATGCCTCGGCAGGCGTGTAGTGCGGAGTTGAAGTCGACGTCGCAGTCGGCCCAAGTCTGCTTACGCCGGCCGCGGAGCTCGTCGAAGAGGTGGTATGCTTATTGGCAGCAGACTGAGACGCAAAGTCTCGCGACTCGA